TGCGGATGGTTCGGCCTTTTTACTCGTTCCTCTTTTGGTATTTGTGCACGTGCGCCTCGCCAGGGAACTTTTTTAGGACAACCCAGACACCAGCTACAGCTGGAGCATAAAAGTTAGAGCCCTCGACCATATACTGGTATTGTGGAAAAGGTTTCGAAGTGAGTTCTTTTTGAGAAAACCGGTCTCAAAGTGCGGATGGTTCGGCCTTTTTTACTCGTTCCTCTTTTGATATTTTTGCACGTGCGCCTCGCCAGGGAACTTTTTTAGGACAACCCACACCCCAACTAAGCCTGAAGTATAAAAGTTAGAGCCCTCCACCATATCCTGGTATTGTGAAAGAGATTTCAAATTGCGTTCTTGTTGAGAAAACCGGTCTCAAAGTGCGGATGGTTCGGCCTTTTTTACTCGTTCCTCTTTTGATATTTGTGCACGTGCGCCTCGCCAGGGAACTTTTTTAGGACAACCCAGACCCCAGCTACAGCTGGAGCATAAAAGTTAGAGCCCTCGACCATATACTGGTATTGTGGAAAAGGTTTCGAAGTGAGTTCTTTTTGAGAAAACCGGTCTCAAAGTGCGGATGGTTCGGTCTTTTTTACTGGTTCCTCTTTTGATATTTGTGCACGAGCGCCTCGCCAGGGAACTTTTTTAGGACAACCCAGACCCCAACTAAGCCTGAAGTATAAAAGTTAGAGCCCTCGACCATATACCGGTATTGTGGAAAAGATTTCAAAATGAGTTCTTTTTGAGGAAACATGTATCAAATTGCGAATGGTTCGGCCTTTTTTACTCGTTCCTCTTTTGACATTTGTGCACCTGCGCCTCGCCAGGGAACTTTTTTAGGACAACCCAGACCCCAGCTATAACTGGAGCATAAAAGTTAGAGGCCTCGACCATATCCTGGTATTGTGAAAGAGATTTCAAAATGAGTTCTTTTTGAGGAAACAGGTCTCAAAGTGCGGATGGTTCGGCCTTTTTTACTCGTTCCTCTTTTGATATTTGTGCACGTGCGCTTTCCCAGGGAACTTTTTTAGGACAACCCAGACCCCAGCTATAGCTGGAGCATAAAGGTTAGAGCCCTCGACCATATACTGGTATTGTGGAAAAGGTTTCGAAGTGAGTTCTTTTTGAGAAAACCGGTCTCAAAGTGTGGATGGTTCGGCCTTTTTACTCGTTCCTCTTTTGATATTTGTGCACGTGCGCCTCGCCAGGGAACTTTTTTAGGACAACCCAGACCCCAGCTATAGCTGGAGCATAAAAGTTAGAGCCCTCGACCATATACTGGTATTGTGAAAAAGGTTTCGAAGGAGTTCTTTTTGAGAAAACCGGTCTCAAAGTGCGGATGGTTCGGTCTCTTTACTGGTTCCTCTTTTGATATTTGTGCACGTGCGCCTCTCCAGGGAACTTTTTAGGACAACCCAGACCCCAACTAAGCCTGAAGTATAAAAGTTAGAGCCCTTGACCATATACTGGTATTGCGGAAAAGATTTCAAAATGAGTTCTTTTTGAGGAAACAGGTCTCAAAGTGCGGATGTTTCGGCCTTCTTTACTCGTTCCTCTTTTGATATTTGTGCACGTGCGCCTGGCCAGGGAACGTTTTTAGGACAACCCAGACCCCAGCTATAGCTGGAGCATAAAAGTTAGAGCCCTCGACCATATCCTGGTATTGTGAAAGAGATTTCAAAGTGCGTTCTTGTTGAGAAAACCGGTCTCAAAGTGCGGATGGTTCGGCCTTTTTCACTCGTTCCTCTTTTGATATTTGTGCACGTGCGCCTCGCCAAGGAACTTTTTTAGGACAACCCAGACCCCAGCTATAGCTGGAGCATAAAAGTTAGAGCCCTCGACCATATACTGGTATTGTGGAAAAGATTTCAAAATGAGTTCTTTTTGAGAAAACAGGTCTCAAAGTGCGGTCGGTTCGGCCTTTTTTACTCGTTCCTCTTGATATTTGTGCATGTGCGCCTCGCCAGGGAACTTTTTTAGGACAACCCATCCCCAGCTATAGCTGAAGCATAAAAGTTAGAGCCCTCGACCATATCCTGGTATTGTTAAAGAGATTTCAAAGTGAGTTCTTGTTGAGAAAACCGGTCTTACAGTTTGGATGGTTCGGCCTTTTTTACTCGTTCATATTTTTATATTTGTGCACGTGCGCCTCGCCAGGTAACTTTTTTAGGACAACCCAGACCCCAACTAAACCTGGAGTATAAAATTTAGAGCCCTCGACCATATTTTGGTATTGTGGAAAAGATTTCAAAATGAGTTCTTTTTTAGAAAACCGGTCTCAAAGTGGGGATGGTTCGGCCGTTAAAATGCTGAGCCATCGAGCCCATCCTGGTGGAGTGACAAATACCTCAAAATGGATCGGTTTTTTTTTTTTTTTTTTTTTTGACAACCAGTCTAAAATCGGTGATGGTTCGGTCGTTTTTACGCCTTCCTTCATCTTTTCAAATATGGGCACCCGCGCGTTTTACCAGGGAACTTTTGAGGACAAACCAGTCCCCAACTAAGGGTTGAATGTAAAAAATGTAAAGCTCTCGAGCCCACCCTGGCTCTATGGCAAATACTTGTATGATTCTTGACAAAACCGGTCTCAAATTGGTTATGGTTTGACCATTGCTACGCATTCGTTTATGTATTGAAATTTGAACGCCCACGCCTTATTCAGGAACATTTTTTAGGCCGACCGGGAACTTAGCCGGTTACGAAATACATAATTGAGAAATCAAAACTATAAGCTGCTGCTATGGAAAATCCTCTAAAATGAGCCATCTTTGAGTAAACTTGTCTAGAAAGAGACAGGGTTCGACTATTTCCAGGTATTGGTTCATCGTTTCGTGTTTGGGCACCCGCGCCTAATCCAGGAACTCTTTGAAATCGGCAAAGTGTTTAGCTGGTGGAGTACAAACGTTATAGCCCTCTACTACACGCTGCTTTTATGACAAATCATTTAAAGTGAAAAGTGAGTCATCTTTCAGAAAAACTGTCTTCAAGCGTTCATGGGTTGACTTTCTTCAGGCATTCGTTTACTATTTCAAATTTGAGAACCCGTGCCTTGTCCGGCGATGTTTCGTGATCGTGCGAGCTCGCAACATCTCTCAGTATCCAAATTCAAGTTTCAAAATGTTTTCCTCTACTTGGAGAGGAGAGGCAGCTGAGAAAAAAAACTCAGTGTTGGTTGACAATCCTCTGCCCCGATACCAGCAGCAGAGGGAAAACGCAAACACACACACACACATACACATTTCCTATAACATTAGCATAATTATCAACAAACAATATTAGTATCAAAGATAGAAAAGAATAAACTAAATCATACAATCACTTCATGCTCTAACTGTGCGGTGAAATACTTACGAAAGCCCGTCACAGAAGGAGAACGCACCTATTTTCGAGACCCACTCAAAATATTTTTGTTCAATTCACTGCAACAATTTTGGAAGACGCGGTAGTGTGGATCTCACCATTTAATTGCCGCAATTGGTCCTGAAGAGCGGTACTGACCAGATATCTGCACAACGAGTATTGTAAGTCTGTTAACTGAAGTTGCAAGGTGGGGTATTGATTGGAATACATGGTTATGACATGAGGACTTTTTGTATGAGAGGGTACGTTTCGAACTATCGTAATTGATAACTTCCAGAATATTGAATTTTTCGTACAATGGTTTCGTCTGGCTATCATAGGCAGTGTGGCATATTATACGAATCGCTCTTTTTGGAGAATATGTATTTGCTGGATAGTCATAGTCGTATTTCCATATACTACGAAGCAATAGCTAACTGTACATCGTACCCACAGCCTTCGAGACTTTGCTACACGTATATTGTATCATCTCATTCCAAAGCATGTTTTCAGTAAAAATTACACCTAACACTGTCATGCTCTCAACTATATCAATAGCACCAGTACGAAGAGAAAGCACAGACGCATAACTACAATTTGTATTCCGGGATCTAAAAAGACGGCCTTCGTTTTGCTTACATTTATTTGGAAAGAATTCGATAATGTCCAAGCATTTAGTTTATAAAGAAAATGATTACCATTACTAATTACCTGATCCATGTTAACTCTTAAAAGACTGAACTCGTTTCATCTGCATAAATAATGTAGGTCACATTTGCGTTAATGTTTACCATGTCATTAATATACAAGTTGAAAAACAGCGGTCCCAAAACACTGCCCTGTGGCACTCCAGCGGATTGCGGCTGAAGATTAGATCTTGTTTTATTTATTTCAACACACTGATATCGATCATTATGATAACTTTTTTTATTATTTGTAAAGCAACACCACGAAAACCATGAAGATACAACTTTGTAAGCGATGTGTCATGATTTATGCGGTCGAATGCCTTTGTGAAATTAATAAATATTCCAAGTGTCACCAGTTTTGTTTTGATATTACCTAAACGTTTCGAGTGTCATCCGTTCGTTTCGAGTTCCTCGCTTCCATCGAAGTATCTAGGAGGATTCCCCGGGGCCGTTTTGGCACGACTCCGGCGAACCTGCCGAGCAGCTAGTTTCGACGGACGCCATCCTGTTATCTGTTTTGTTTGTTTTTTCGACATTTGTGCGACATAAAAGGAAAAAATAAATGCTGGTGCATGCTTGCCATCCCCTTTATTTACTTGTTTTAGAGCTGCCAACCACTGCCACGTATTGCCTGCTGCATTCAACCAGCGATTCTAAACAAAAGCCGCATTTTAAATTTTGTTACACGAAGCGTTTCCCGCCAACCCCGGTCTCGCTACTCGTCTCGTAAATTCCCGCCACAGGGCCCCGCTCCCAAACCCCTAGTCTCGTCGGAGAGCTGCGTCACACGCGGCATATCCGCCCGGCCTTGGCCGTCACTCGCTTATCGACTCCGACAGAAGAACAGCAGTGAGCCTAGGCGGCGGAGTGTTTCCAACTGCTCGATCAGAATCACGTGTAGCCGCAAGGAGGGAACGAAGCGCGAAGCGTCTTTCCTCCTCGCCCCAGGCGACCCGCAGCATGCGCACTTGCCACCAATCGGCGCAGGAGGCATCCGCCATCAAATTGCAAGAGGTCTCCGCGGTGTACCGAGGTGCTCAATGTCTCAAATCTAGGCTCTCTTCACAGCGGCGGTGTCGCCGCCCTGCCGGACCCAAGTAGGAACGGCGGCAGTGAAAGCAGGGAGCAGGGAGCTCAAGGCTGGATCGAGGGCGGCTCGTTCGCGGTGAGTGCAGACGGCCTTCATTCGCCACCTCGCTCGGCGGCTCGCTGACGACGCCCTTCGTGGAGCTAAAGGCACCGGGTATTTCCACGAGGGGAACTAGGGATGCGAGGGACCCTTACAATGGCTGTAAAGTCTGACATTCGAGCTCGGAATGCGAGCGAAACGCCCCTAGGCGATTGTAGTGCGTTCAGTTGGTTTCAGCGTTTCGGCGGGGAGAGATCACGAGCTGCGTGATGACGGTCGGCAGGTGGGAAGCAGAATTCTGGATCCGTTGATAAAAGCGCTGCACGCGCTGGCTTTATTCGAAGCACATAATAAAAATAGGGACCTTAAGCAAACCGCTGCCGTGCTCCGCGTACCGCACTGCCTGAGCCTTTGAAGCATGCTTTTAAGCGCGCGCCTGGGTGGTACCGTGACCGCGAGGAGTGTGCTTAAAAGCATGCTTCAAAGGTTCCGATAGTGCGGTACGCGGAGCACCGCAGCGACGCAAAATTTAAACGTTCCTCACTTTGCACGAGCCTGCTGCCACGAGTCTGACCCAGATATACTCGCGCTCTACGCCACTGATCAAGAAGCGTCTTTGTCGAGGTGGAATGGGTGTCATATAATCGGCGCCAAATCACGTGACCGCTTGTTCTAGCTGCGAGCAAGTTGAGGGAGAAAACATTGCTCGTTTTTTGTCTTTTTATTTATTTTTATTTTGTATTTTGTTTTTTGTGACTGCGATCGCGTTGGGGGAAAAAACTTAATTCGCGTTTTGTAGTTTATAAACATCCGGGAATAATTCTAAGCGGTATTTACTAAAAGCACAAAAGTTGGCCCAGTTGTCTGCTTTAGAACAGTTACTGTTGCCGACGCCCGCACGAGCAGCGCACGTGTATCTATGCTCGCAAACTGCAAGTAGGTGCTCGATTAATTTAGCAGAAGGTCTCTTTCCAGCCTTTCTTTCCACCTAGCTGCAATCGGCTAGACACTAAAAGAGGGGATGATATTGGAGAGCGCGAGCTCTGGTTGGAATGATTCGTGGGTCGACACAACGAAAGCTGAACTTTTTCTCGACTCACTGTTCGAACGCATTCGAACGTCAAGCGCCGGCGTCCGCTTTCGAATGCGTTCGAACACTAAGCGGGGAAAGATGTAGCTAGCTTCATGTCTACCCATCAAACAGCCCAACCAGAGCTGGCAGCTCTGGCGTTTCCTCGAGCACTCCCATTCTCCTCGCCTTTTCTAAGTTACGCCAGTTACGCGATCTATAGAGTGCCTCGCTGGCTGCATTTACATGGATGCGACCGTAGCGCATCGAGTCGAGATTTCACGATTTTGATTGGTAGCAGTTGGGTGGAAGAGGAAGAAGTAAGACGACAGGCTGCGTGTCATTGGTCCCTGCTCGATTCGATGCGCTACGATCGCATTCATGTAAACGTAGCCAATGTCCTTCTGTTTAGGGTGATGCCATCGTTTGTAGTACCCGATTCCGACACCACGAGCTCACAGGGAAAACACAAAGAAATCGCAGGAAACAAAATGTCGCCGTAGCACAGTCAGCGCCACGAACGCGTGTAAAGACACTCTCTTTCACGCACGCACTTCAGAACAAAAAATAAAAATAAGCGTTCGAAACAAAATGGCCACATGTCATCACCCCAAGTAAAGCGCACATGAAGGCACCCTAACGCGATCACGAAGGAGCATGCTGCGAGTAGGGTGCCTTCATGTGCGCTTTGCTTAGGGTGGAGACATCTGGCCATTTTGTCTCACACTTTTATTTTTATTTTTTGTTCAGAAGGGCGTGAAAGAACGTGTCCCTGCACGCGATCGTGGCGCTGACTGTGCTACGGCGACATTTTGTTTTCGTCGATTTCTTTGTATTTTACCCGTGAGCGCGTGCTGTCGGCATCGGGTGCTACAAAGGGTGGCATCACCCTAAACAGAAGGACATTGAGGCACCCTAGCTGCGAGTGTAGTTATTACACGCGCTGCTCGTGCTTGTGTCTTCAGCAGTCACTGTTCTAAAACAAAAATCTATAAAAAAAATGTTAAAAAAGGCGCTTTGCTCGTATGTTTCTCGGCGGGTTATTTTGAATTTTTGCTTCCAACTTTTTTCTAGAGACAAAGCGAACAGGTGCACCGCGCGTACAGCCGACCTGTTTTAATGACATCGCGCGAGCTCCGACCGCTTGCTGCATCAACGCCTTGTTGCCGCGAAAACAACGGGAACACGTGCATGCGCAGGCGCCGCACGCCGTTATGAGGCACATCGGACAACGTCCTTGTTGCGCTCGTAAGGACTCGCTATAAGGGAACGAACGCTCTGAGCAAACGCTTTATCAATGGAATTCACTGGGGCCAAAAGCAAACTTTTTTTTTTTATGTAGCTCTCCTTTTTTTTTTTTATGGCGGCTCTTCGCATAGAACGGTCTCTTTTTAGGGCTCTTTGAATGCGTCCGTTGGCCACCCCTGGAATATACATTCATCCGCCTTATTTTACTCTAGCTTAATTTTTTTTCTATTTAAATACTCATTTAGATCAATTTATCGGCTGTACATACCTCGCAGATATGACGTCATTAGCTGCCATGCCAGTATTTTATGCGCGAGAGTTCGGTTCGCCGCGTTAGTTTCACGCCGCATGTAGTTGTAGGTCGAAAAAACATGTGAGTCGAAATAACCGCCAGTACCCAGCAACGGCTACAGTCGCGAGCTATGTATTAGTTTTATATTTAATTATTTTATTTGATAACCATCGAGACCGCGACAGAATTTTGATCCGGCCCGCGAGCCAAAACGTTTGGACAGGATCCGACGGAGCCAATCGGGCAGTGTCAAATGTGCCTCACCACGACGCTTGTCTTATTACAGCGAACGCTGAAGTAAGACAAGCGCCGTGACGAGGCACATTTGACGCTGCCCGATTGGCTCCGTCGGATCGTATACAGGCCAACGCGCTGTTTACAGTCAAACCCTAACGAGGTGTGCGCTCTGCTTCTGCGCAGAAACCAGATTCGCGTTAAAGGAGGGGAGCGGTGAAGCTGGGCGCCGCGCGGTCCTACCCATGACGCACCACCTGGCGATACGCGGCGGTACTTGTGGATCCAAGACACATGCACGCAAAAGCCGGTCGCGCGACGCACACAGTTGTTGGGCCACACCACTGTGCACCGAAAGAAGAGCGACTGGCAGAACTGCGCTTTAAAACGTACTATTTATGCTCAAAACGTACATTAAAGTATTCGGGTTATTAATAAAACAAAGAAAACTGGCGTAAACGTTATCTTACGTTACCATTATGTTACTATTAAAGTAATCATGTCGAAGAAAAAATTACCGCAGAAACGTACGTTCACAACACTAGCAACGCCATGTTTGCTTTTCTCTTCTACCCGCTCTATGTCTAAAACTAAGAAGTTTTAGATTTAAGAGGCCCCGATTGGACAAAAAAGGCTAGCGCAAATCACTTATGAGACATTACCAGTTTTCATGAGGCACTCTGGCACTTTCGCTCGAACATACACGGATGTGTTTTATTGACGTCATTCCAAGGAAGTCACACCGCATGCAAAAATTATCAGGCGTTATGACGTTGAAATGAGCAGTGACAAAACGTTATTCCTAACATCATAAAAATAATATGCGTGGGAGTAAAATACCTACCAACGCAGTCCAAAATACTAACGCAGCAGAAAAATTCCGAAACACACAACACATTTCTTCGTCTCGCGGCAGCATCGAATGTCTCCCTCGACAAACCTGACGACGCCAAAGATCTTTCCGCTAAAAAGAGCACCGTTTCGGTATCCTTTTTACACACCTCGTGTTAGCTCCTTCGTCGGCTGTGGCAGTAACATTCCGGCAAACAGATTCCCCAGCTAAAATTCAAACCTCCAACACCTCACCAATCTCGATCGGAGTCATACGGCCGCTTCTCGGAACCGTTCTTGTGGTTCCTAAAGACCCACCTGTTGCTAGTTGAGATAGTGATTTCACAACACCTTACGTGTAACCCATGGGACTTCGAATAGGTTCGCAGATGGCTAGAACGCTTTGACGAGAGCGTTCGAGCCGCACACAGCACTAAATCCACACCGAACCGATAAAACAAACGTTCGCCATATTTATATGTGTGGGCGGCTAAGTTTCAGGAGCTTAGGGGGAGTTCATGGAGGAGAGAGAAAAACGGGCTGTGCTCGAGTCGCAGGTCAAGGAGCTGAACGATGAGCTCAGGCAGGAACGGGAGAACCGTGCCGAACTCTAAAATCTTGGGGTAAGTTTTAAGAGGATAGAAAAAGGAGACTGGGTGGTTGTGTTCGAGGAATCAAATGATATGGGACGGAATTGAACATAGAGAGAAAGAAGCGAGAGGTGCAAGAGGAGGCTTTTGATTGTCAGCTGGAGGAGGTGAAGGCGACCCAAAGGTCCAACAAAGATAAACATGAAACAATGGAATGGCAACTGGACGTGAGGTTAACGAGGGAGAAGGAAGGGCGAGAGGAAGTGGAAAAGGAGAAGGGGTCGGACGTGAGTGCAGAAGATGAAGAGACGGGGGATGGAGGGAGGAGCAGTTGTCGTAGTGTCGGTTGTAGAGAGCGATAGGGCACAGGACGTAGACACTAGTGTGGCGGAAAAGGCAGCGAGGCCATTGTACAGTATGGTGGGGCAACGGAATTCCTGTACTCCGACAGCCGCCAAACCCGCGATGCAGAAAAACATCACGAGCCATTCCACTCTGGGAAGGTAGATGACCAGCGAAGCTGTTCAGCAGACGACACAGACCCGCCCCGAGGAGCCGGAGGAAACTAAACGCGCGCGACGGGACCGCCATCCGGCGGAAAGTATACACGGGCGACGGGACCGCCACCCCGGGACAGCGGAAGGAAAGGAAACTAGGCACACTAGCGCTTGAAACGACAACAGAGAGAGAGCGGTGCTAGAGTAGACTTGGCCGACGCGGGTCGCACAGCGGCCAAATCTTTGAGAAACCTTTATTATCTACCTGAGAGTCT